TGTCTAAACAACCACTGAGATGTAACTCATATGTGATCTAACATAGTGTATTTATTTACTAGTTCTTACTGCCTGGCTAGATACGCAAGGCCTACCTCACGATGATTCACCGCGCACTTTCTCTAGCGTGGATCTGAGAATTCCGTCCTCTCGCTTCTCCCACCAAGACCTCGTCATCTCAGAAGGCCTGCTTGAGCCGAAGGCGAATCCTGAAGCAACGGAAGCGAACAACACACTCCGCTACCAGCTTGTTCGCCCACTTGGCCTTTCCTCCCCACGAACAAACTCTGGTGAGTTTACTATAGATTTACGTTCAGTCAGTAAAAAAGTAACTTTACTCGGGAGTAAACTGAAACGATCACTTGGAGCTGATTCGGATATGTTGGTACTTATTGTTTTCAGATAAGGATAGGTCCGATATGCGAAGCTGAGCCTCGCCCGGGCTATGAGGGGAGCCCGGTCTGTGCCGACTAATGTCGACTCGCTAACAGTGTGTCAGCTGGTGCAGACTCGGGTGAGCTTAGTCCTTACCCACCGTGGTGCCCAGCCACAGCAGTAACCTCCAGGCGACAATTGCAACTTCTCGCGCCTGGGCGGGGCGCGAACCGTAAACCCATTGGATGAGAGGCCGACACGTTACCCCTGTACTAGCCTAGGCTATTGTACTAGGCTATTGTTTTCAGAGCTCGGAACAGATGAAATTTCATAATGTGTTCGAATAGTGTTTTGGAATAGCAGTGCAGTTTGTATATTAGCAGTGAAGACCTCTTAGACCATTTATAGCTGTACTGTGAGGCACTATCAAGTTCCGAAACATCGAGATTAGTTATTTCGAAGCCTACCGTGTCGCTTGTGGATCCAGCGGCACCAGGAACTGAATCCACCAGAGACAAAGCCAGAAGTGGGCACCCTATGTGCATATGTGCACGACGGAGGAAGATGATCAAGCAAATGTCGTTCAAAACTACAATTCAATGTGCTCTGTGAAAGACAAATAGGAAGCTTGCACTGAAGTGCATGGATATCATGAGTTAATGAAAACCATTTGATACTCCGAAAATGAGGCGCGGTAGGTAGTGGCATCACCCCTTACTGGGTTTTTAGTTATATACTCTCATTATTATTGTTTTTTTTAACAATCCATAGCTACTACAAGGGATGCGAACCGATTTTGTTCTGCTGTTTACAGCACACAGACTGTCAGAAATCGTTGGGCAGTTGGAGTCGAGTGGAGTCGGGGAGCAAATGAATGTCGGACTCGGCAGATTTACCGGGTATGCCTATGTGGAAATCATTGGATGAGATGATTCTACCCAGGGCCGTCGGGAAGGTAGCATTGCAGGTGGGGTGTAATGTTTCAAATTTGCCGACAAAGGGCGTGGTCATTGGGCGTTGGGCATTGGTGATTTTATTAGTCACACAATAACTCTATGTTCTGTGAACCATTCGTAGAGAGCGCCGACAAATTAGCAGCAGAAATTGTCAAAATTTACCAATTTGCCGAAAAAATGCAGGTTTAAGGTTTCATTTGCCGACAGATGTTTTTTTTTTCAGGGGGTTGTCATCCCCCCCACACCCCCCGTCGCGACGGCCCTGTTTCTACCATCGTTGAGGTCCATGTTCTTCACCAAGCCAGAGCCATTTTACCTCGTCCAGGATAACAGCCACCCGAGCAATGTCGTGAATGCGTGATTTCGGCAACACCCCGAGACTTTTCCCAAGATCATACCCGCAATCGTCATATCGTCGTTACCCAAGCGATTTCGTCGTGTTACCGCCACCAGCACGAATGTTAATAGTATTGTGTATTTTAAAACCCTAAACTTTTAAATGTAGCCGTGCTAAGGGAACAAAAAATTAGAAAAAAAATATTCTAGGGACATTTTAAGCTATAACCAGATCTATATAGGTGTAACTAATATTTTGGGCCCTCAGAGGGGGTGACAAATACCCCCCTCCTAAATGACGCCCCTCTCAGGGCTACCAATATCAGGTCGAACTCACAGCACTTTTTCCAACCGTTTTCATCGTCGTATCATATTGTTAAGTCAGAAAGAGTAAAGATACTTTTTTAGCGTGTGTACAGATCTTGCATTTCTTACACACACACACACACACACACACATACGCACACACACCCACACACACACACACACACACACACACACACACACACACACACACACACACACACACACACACACACACACACACACACACACACACACACACACACACACACACACACACACACACACACACACACACACACACACACATACACACACACACACACACATACACACACCTATAGATGTATACATATATGTATATATATATGTATATGTATTTGTATATGTGTGTGTGTGTGTGTGTGTGTGTGTGTGTGTGTGTGTGTGTGTGTGTGTGTGTGTGTCTACACACATATATATATGTGTGTGTATATATGTATACACACACACACACACACACACACACACACACACACACACACACACACACACACACACACACACACACACACACACACACACACACACGTTTACTTGCAAATATGTACATATGAAACAGTAAATTGGTCACGCTACATCTAAATCTACATCTGAATAATGTCTTCCTCATGGATGCCACCCTGGGACCTCCATTCATCAGGAGCTGGTGTAGGGAAGGCAGGGTGAAGGTGAGGTGGAGGGAAGGCAGAGTGAAGGTGAGGTGGAGGGAAGGCAGAGTGAAGGTGAGGTGGAGGGAAGGCAGAGTGAAGGTGAGGTGGAGGGGAGGCAGAGTGAAGGTGAGGTGGAGGGGAGGCAGAGTGAAGGTGAGGTGGAGGGGAGGCAGAGTGAAGGTGAGGTGGAGGGAAGGCAGAGTGAAGGTGAGGTGGAGGGGAGGCAGAGTGGTGGAGAGCAATCATTTGAGAGAAAACATTCGAAACATATGCAATTTCCTTTTATTTTTTTAAGGTAATCGATTATCGAAAAAGGGGAATCCATTTCAATATCGATCTCTTATTAATCGATGTAAGCGATTACAGTGCATCGATTACACACACCCTTAGCTACGCGTAAAAGCTTGCATTCTTTGCGTGTGCACACATATGTTTCTATGAGTTTTATGATTACGCGTGTATGAGGTTAACTACTGGAGAGGGTAATAACGCAAAGACTCAGCCCGCATTGAAAGCAACCAGACACACAACATTAGGCAATACGGCTTTCGCCCACATAGGGGGCCCGAGATCACTCGCTCTCGCCAACAAGCACCAGATGAACGCAGTACTAAGTCATCAGGGCCTTTATCAAGGTCTGGCGTAACGGCCTCAAATACAAACTAACACAATTGCACCTGCCCACACACTTCTCTGTAGCTTCTCGGACGACAGGACTGCCACAGTACGCCAGGGAAACCACCTAGGCACCATCCACCTTAGAAGTGGAGTACCTCAAGGAAGCGTTTTATCGCCAACCATTTATTTCATATATACAACTAGTGTGCCAGAACCAACACCACACAATTACACTTCCGTACAGACTCACACACCCCACTAAATCACAACATTTCATGAAAACAACAACAGAAATAGCTATACAGAATATTATCACTCATGAGCACCGTTGGAAAGACGCACAAATTCAAACTCATATCCATAGCACGTAGACACTCACAATTTCTCTCTCACACACACACATATATATGACAAATAAAACCAGAAGTCATCCTCAAAATCCCCAACGGACTGGCTAATCCACGCCGCTCAGCATTAAATCCATTACTGGCAAAAGGAGCGACAATCACCTCCACCAGCTCCCATGAGTGCGGTGTGGATTAGCCAATCGTGGAGGAGAGAGGGCTGGCTACTATGACATTTCTAAGGTATAAATTCGGCGGCGCTGTGACCTTCAGCAACACTTTACCTCCCCACCCCCCTTCTTTTATTCACTTCTTTATTTTGTTTATTCCGTTTATTCCTTGAGCTCCAACTCAGAGGTGAGCCAACCTTTATCTTGTAGGTGGAATGGCATCCCCTCTGGTCTCTCCCCAGGGGCTTCGCCTACCCAGGTGTTTGCCGTGAGTGGAACCCTTGTGCGGTAAGGAGACGGGAGTCTTGGAGGATGATGGCATGTATGAGTATGCCCTGTGGTAGCAACACGCCTCTTTGGTCTCTTATTCCAGCAAAACGGATGGCCTGACCCTGGTTTGTTCAGGTCAATCGGCTGGTCTCCTTCGGGACGCTAGGGTCAAACAGTCATGGCACTGTTGGCACAATGGCTATTGACTGCATGTCTATCAATGAGATTGTCCAACAGACTCTCGTGCTGGGCTCTCCAGGCCTGCATCCAAAGCAGGGAGACGTCTTCCCTGACCGAGATGGGAGTACAAGCTGGTCCAGCCAAGCCACCTGCTCCCATGACCAAAGCCAGAATCCATGCTGGAGGAACGGTACGAAACAAACTGAGCCGGAGACAGACTCTGATGTGGAGCTGATCTCATCACACCCACAGGTCGTGGGGCTTCTCGAATGTCGAAAGGGAAGACCCCAACTAGGTAAATCCTGGTGGACCTGAAAGGAGCCCCATTCGCCACCCTTGATTTGGGTAACTCAGGCTTCTACAGCTTAAGCACCTATGTGCCTGAGCCACTTCAGTGCTTCACATGCCAGAAATATGGGCTTCACTTAGCTAGCACCACCAACCCGGTGGCGCTAGCATATATATATATATATATATATATATATATATATATATATATATATATATATATATATATATATATATGTATATATATCCATATTTGGTGGACAATAGGACATTTGCGTACAAAATATCACACGAAAATATCGCACAAAAGGTTCTCATCCATGCATTCACGGCGATGATAAAGAAAATAAACACCTCATGACGTCATTCCCGGGTTGGTGGCGCTACTGGTAATATTTGAGTTAAAGTTGTAGCAGGCGACGCATATTTCGGTAAAAAAATGCTTCCAAACTACATTTTTAGACAATT